AATAGGAGGGCTACAAGTCATGTATGGATACTGCTGGGCAACACACCAGACAACATTGTGAAACTGTGCCGCAATTTTTTTTTGTAAAACTGAATTCAAGCGTTGAGATGACCGTATGTGGTAGTAGATCCGTAGTACGTACTACTATTAGTACCACAACCTTTTCATTTGCCTTTGGGGGAAGTCAGGCTCAAAGTGGGAGGTTGAGGCAAAAAGATCTTTGAAAAGATTCTGTATGCTTAGAATTCTTCGTAGCTTGATCAGGACCTGGAGGCTTGGTGGCAGCGACCTGGACTTTGAGTTTTCAAAGGCATCAGCATCATGAGGGACATCTTCCACCACTCCACAACACATATTTCCATTGATTCTTGAAATTTCAAAGAAGAAGAAACAATGTTATATATTGTTCTTGGGAGTGGTGTTGCAGTTCAAAAGGTCCAAACGAGCTTGTGGCTTGTGGCTTGGGCTACTCGCCTACTTGCCTTCAAGCTTGCTTTCTACAAATTCCCAGTGTCCTGGATTCAAATATATATTCTGTCAAAGCATCTGCGAAATTCATTGGATCAGTATCAAGGAAATATTTAACATGTCAGAGAAGACTTAACCTTCTGCTTAGCAACACGTTTCCAAATCTCAAAACAGACAACATCTAAAGCCTTACAGTAAAAAAGATTAAATAAAATCCTCCATGTACAGTAAAAAGGATAAAAACATAAAATAAAACTGTCGAATACCATGAGCTTTAAAAAAAAAGCTCATGGCCCTGAGCTTTTAAAAAAAACTCATGGTGCAGCTTGATAACCTTGATAAGGACCTGGAGGCTTTGTGGCTATGACTGTGGATTGGACTGTGAATTTTCAAAGCAATCAGCATCATGAGGAAGATTCTTCCACACCTGCCAAACTAGACAAATTGTAGTTCTTCTTTTTGGTAGTACATGTTGACTGGCAATATTATTAATATATCTTCTCACCATGCACAAAAGGAAAAAAAATGCCAATATTGCAATGGCTGCCAGTACTAGCACTCTTAGTACCGATTAAATTGGTTGTGTTGGCACAAATGAAGATAATTACGTATTCATGACTGAAGTATCAGTATCGACATCATTACGAAGCACAGACCAGTCCTTGCCATATAATCCTAAACCAGCAAGATTGAAGTGTGACTCAAAACTCTTCTCACAGCACTTAAAGAAACCCTCATCATGAGTTCATGACAAACAGACGGAGGAAGTACATGAAGAACAAATAAACCAAACAACATGGCAAAATATTTTGTAGAGATAGAATTATTAGCAATAGCTTTCATGTCATTATTCATCAATCAACATATTAGACCCGGCACATGGGTTATGACGTCACCTCTAAAGCTCATGGTGCAGCTTGGTCAGGGCTAAAGAGTTGGTGTCAGTTTTGGCCTTTGAATTTTCAAAGCCATCTGCATCGTGAGGAAGGTTCTTCCACCGCTGCACCACACCTTTTTCCTTTTTTCTAAATTATACACACAACGGGCTCCTTGCCCATGAAAGCGACAATGATATTTCACACAAAGAAGAGATGATGTTATATATTGTTATTGGGGGTTGGTTGGGCTTCATAGGTCCAAAAGAACTAATGGCTTGTGCTACTCGCCTATGTTTCTGTTTGATACTGATACAACTCTACTCAGTAGCTGCATCCAATTCCCATGCCCATGGCGATGGCCATGGTAATGCCACAACTTCTTCCTGCCATCCGGACCAGGCTGCAGCACTTCTCCAACTAAAGCAGTCCTTCATTTTCGACTACTTCACTACCACCCTGCCGTCATGGCAACCTGGAACAGACTGCTGCCTCTGGGAGGGTGTGGGCTGCGAAGATGGTGTATTTCATGGCCGCCATGTCACTGTTCTTGACATTAGTGTCCATGGCCTCTACAGCTATGGCTGCCATGCTGCGCTCTTCAACCTCACCTCCCTGCACTACCTCGACCTCAGCATGAACGATTTTGGTGGATCTCGCATTCCGGCAGATGACTTCGAGAGGCTATCCAAGCTCACTCACCTCAACCTTTCTTATTCAGGCTTCTACGGTCAGATTCCTATCGCCATCGGCAAACTCACAAGCCTCGTATCATTGGACCTTTCTTCAGTGCATAATATTGAATCAGCTGAAATCACAAATCTTTATGCTATCATGGATGGCTACAACCTTTTGGTGTTACGAGAGCCCAGCTTTGAGACCTTACTGGCAAACCTCAACAATCTGAGGGAGTTGTACCTTGATGGAGTGGACATATCTAGTAGCGGAGAGGAGTGGAGCAGTGCTCTAGGTAAACCTGTCCCCCGTCTTCAGGTTCTTAGCATGGCGTACTGCAAACTCAATGGAGGCTTTCGTAAGGAGACTTCTTTGGAGACTTTGTATCTAGATTATACTAATTTCTCTTGTATCAAGCTGAGCTCTTTGAGCAACCTCCCCTCTCTCAGGGGCCTAGGCTTTGATGGAGGGTCAATTTCTATGGAACCTACTGATTTACCGTTCCCTATGCTTAACTCCTTGCAAAACCTGCAGCTCTCTTTTGCACGATTTTCAGGGGAGTTAGGGTCATTTTTCCTCTGGATTAGAAGCCTTCAAAACTTGAAAAGCTTGCAACTCTCTTATTGCTATTCCTCCAAGATAATGGCCACCATGATTGGCAACCTGACCAACTTAACAAGGTTGGAAATCACTTTATGGGCCTATGGGCAAATACCACCATCAATTGGCAACCTTACCGAGTTGACTTCCTTGAGAATCTCTGATTGTGTCTTCTCTGGGCCAATACCAACTTCAATTGGCAATCTCAAGAAACTAAGAAGCTTGGAGATCACTAATATTGGCTCATCGGGTTTTATCACTAAAAATACTGGCTTATCAGGTCAAATACCAACAGATATTGGATTTCTCAGCAGATTGAAGGTCTTAAAATTAGCGGGCTGCATATTATCTGGCGGAATTCCAAGTACAATTTCCAACTTGACTCAGCTGACGCATGTGGATCTTTCTCGCAATAACCTTGGAGGTAAGATTTTGTCTCAAACTTCAGTCATCGCTAATAAGTACCAAATTTCAATGTTGTATGTTCTAGTATTGTATAATAGCAGTTAGCTTGACATGTTAACCATTCCCTCTGGAACATTTCTCCATGCTTGCGATTAGTACTTTTCTTCTACAAAATATATGTCGTGTTGTCTAACATATAATCATTTTAACTTCATTTCCAGGAGAGATTCCAACATCTCTATTCTCTTCTTTGGCCATATGTTACAGTTGGATCTTTCATACAACCAATTTTTCGGACCGATACAAGAGTTTGGTGGACTTACAAATTTGATGTTCATAGATCTAAGCTCAAACAAACTAACAGGTTCAGTAAAATTAAGTTCAGTTTGGAAGTTAAGAAGGCTTACTTACTTAGGTCTCTCAGACAATAGATTATTCGTGTTGGATGGAGAAGGAAGTATACCATTACTCCCTAAAATCTTGAGTTTAGGGCTTGCGTCTTGCAACCTGACAACAATTCCTAGATTCTTGATGCATGTCAATCATATCAGCACATTAGACATTTCAAGCAACAAAATACATGGGACTATACCCAAATGGATATGGGAGACATGGGAAGACAACCTTATACATTTAAACCTTTCACACAACATATTTACATATATGCAACTCACTTCACATGTCCTTCCAACGAGTCGTTTGGAATCTCTTGATCTCAGTTCCAATAGACTTCAAGGCCAGATCCCGATGCCAGCAGTTAGCAGTTCCCCACGAGTCAGAGATCCTTCCTTTCAAAAAAGCCAACTCTTTGATTATTCAAATAATAGATTCTCTTCTCTTTTGTCAAACTTCACTGCTTGTCTTAGCAATACCACTTATCTCAAACTTTCCAACAATAACCTAAGTGGGCATATACCACATTCAATTTGCAATCATGACAAACTACAAGTCCTTGACGTGTCATATAATAACTTCAGCGGGTTGATACTTGATACCATCATGTCTGCTAGAACATAGACACTTGGGTATATTAAATTTGAGGGGGAATCACTTTGAAGGAACATTGCCTTATTATGTTACTAAGCATTGTCACCTTGAGACAATAGATTTACATGGAAATAGGATTCAAGGTCAGCTGCCAAGGTCTCTTTCCAATTGCGGTTACCTGGAGATTCTTGACATTGGAAACAATCAGATTATTGACACTTTCCCGTCGTGGCTGGGCAACCTTTCGAATTTACATGTCCTTGTTTTAAGATCCAACCAGTTCTGTGGCTCGGTCTCTTATGTTCCTGGTCCATCCTGGAGATAGCAAATTTGGGGAACACTTCTCAAATTTACAAATCATTGACATAGCCTCAAACAACTTCTCTGGTAGTTTAGATCCACGATGGTTTGAGAGATTGACATCTATTATGGCAAAGTCCAATGACGCAGGAAGTCAACAATGGTTCGGTAATCCGGTATTCTACGATTCTAACTACTACCATGATACTGCTACAATCACATACAAAGGGCAATACATGGCATTTGAGAAAGTATTGCTTATCTTAACTGCAATCGACTTTTCAAATAATGCATTTGATGGCGACATTCCTGAGTCAGTTGGAAGGCTAGTTTCACTATATGTATTGAACATGTCATACAATGCATTTACGGGCAGGATTCCTGCACAAATGGGTGAGATGCGCCAATTGGAATCACTAGACCTGTCTTGGAACAAGCTTTCTGGGGAGATTCCACAAGAGCTGGCAGATTTAACATTTCTTGGTGTGTGAACTTTTCGACGAAAAAGGGTTTCCCCCCGCTTTGTATTCCAAAGCAACCAACCGAAACATCCAAGGATAGGTGCTGGGGCGGAAGCAGCACAGGTACACCCAAAAGAAACGAAAGAGAAACAACAAGAGAAAAGAATGCCGACAACGGCGGATCGACGGAAACGAAGAAGCTTCACGACCACTGCGCCCACCGAAGATCTCCCACCAAGCTCCAAGGCTCCAAAGCACCGGTACCAATCAACACCTCCAAGAAGGACCGCGACGAAGACGACGCTGCTGCCAAGGGTTTCCCCCGGTACACGACGAGGCGAGAGGAAAGGTCGCCCCTGACGCCCTCCAGGAAGGTCCGGCGGCACCCACCGGCGTCGCCGCGTCGGGGTCGGACAGGCCGACAGGGGTTTCCCCCGATCCCAACCTTCACCTCAGGTGCTCCAGAGCCTGCCACCAAACCGACCACCCTCTTGCGCCACCATGGTCAAGAAGCCTCCACGCCGTCTCACCACGGCACCACGAGGTGAGGACTGCACAACAAGGGATAGGAGCCGGGACTAGGGGCCGCAGCGCCGTCGGCACGCGGGAGGGCACAACCTCCACCGTCAACGACGGTAGCTGACCGGACACACTAGCAGGAGCCTACCAGGCCCATGTGCCCACAGGCCCGGCCGGGAACTCCATTCCCGGACAGCTCCCGCCATCGCGCTGCAGCAGGCACGCCATCGGCATCGCCGCCCCCCATCCGAGCCGCTCCTCCTCCTCACCGCACAGACGACGACGAAGCCACGCCAGGGACCGGCCCGCTAGGACCCAGATGGGGCCGGGAGGGCCCAGATCTGGGCCGGGGACGCGCCGCCGGCCACCGCACGCCACCACGCCGTCCTGCTGCCAAGGGCAGCACCGCCACCGCGCCGACCGCCGACGACCGCTGCCGGGTCACCGGGCCGCCGCCCAGCCGAGCATCACCGCCGCCGTCAACTGCCCCGGGAGGAAGACGAGCGCGCGGGTACAGACGGGCCCGCCGCCGCCGGCAGCACCCGGGCCAGCGCCGGGGCACCCGCCAGCGGCGGCGGGGGAGAGCGCACGGGGTGGTGGCCGAGGGAAGAGGAGGGGTGCGCCGCCCCGGCCACCTCCCGGGGAGGCGGCGCAGGGGCGGGAACAGGATGGGGAGGGGGAAAAGGGGGGGCGGGGAGGGCCGGGGCGCGCGAGCCGGCGGCCGGCGGCGGCGGGAGGGGGCTAGGGCGCCGCCGGCGGCGGCGGCGGAACCCTAGCGGGAGGGAGCGGGGGGCGGGCCTGACTTCAGAGATCGGATGACTTGAAAATTTTACACCATGGTCGTGTGTGAACTTTAGTGAAAACAAACTGGAAGGAAGGATACCACAGTCACGTCAGTTTGCAACATTTGAGAACAACTCATATGAAGGGAATGCAGGGCTCTGTGGACCACCTTTGTCCAAACCATGTGGTGGTTCTAGTAATCCAAATGAGGCACCATTAAACACATCCGGAAATCATGTTGATATCATTTTGTTTCTCTTTATTGGGGTGGGCTTTGGCGTTGGATTCACAGCAGGTATTCTCATGAAGTGGGGTAAAATTGGCAAATGGTTGCAGACTGCGTGAACTGATCTGAAGACACAAGACTGTCAGTATAGTCATGCAATTACTGAAAGGAGCTATAAGTTGTAATATTCCACTCTATATGTTCACATTTATACCTTGTGTATTGTCATTTTTATAAAATGTTGTTAGCATATTGTGATGCGTTTGAAAAAGTTGCAAGAGAATTGCTACATTCCCAGTTTTAAATTTTTTACAACTCCGAAACTGACGAGGAAATTGTTCGTTCTTTGGCGTCCTATATAGTCTGTTGGTGTTAACTGTTAAGTGGTTGTGTCCGTTGTATGTACAATCCTTATAATAAGAAAGGTACACGACGATCCATGTGCAATCCCGAGTGGAAAATAACATAACCACTTAATGCTCCCCAACAGTTAAACTAGGATTTGAGTGACAGAGACGCGGGTCAGTTTCCCCAACTAGGAGTCATGGAGGGAGGTTCCTTACAGTTATGCTGGATAAAATGTACTAATCTGCACTACACCTGCACAGAAATCGCACAAACGAGCCGCAATCTCCCGCGCCGTGAAACAGTAATCATCATGTCATGTATGAGTTCTTTCGCTACCTGAAACAAATTTCGGATGCGCTCGTCTCGACAAAAAAGCTGCAGGGTACAGTCCTTTCAGTTCCGCATCATCCAGCTCCGCATTCCCCTTCCGACGAACTTAAACTAGTCAGCCACAATTCGTTGCAAATTAAGCATACGGCTTGCAGCTAGCGGCATCAATCAACCTAAAATTGATAGCGGATCGATGAGATGCGGCGAGATATATGTACCTCTGGGCTCAGATCCGGCACGAGGCTGCGGCATCTGGGCGAGCTCCGGCGACGGGCTTCAGCAAGAGAGAGAGGGGGACTCGGTGATGCATGGTGTGCGTATGGGCTGGACGGAAACGAGGGGCCCAGTTAATATTTTGGCCCGTGAACGGCGGCCCGATCAACGAGTCGTGAGTTCGCTCTTAACCAACAATCAACATGTTTTTCCCCCTTTTTTGCGGGAAAACAATCAACATGTTACTAAAAATAAAACCAATCAACAGGTTTCTCCAAAAAAAAAACAATCAACCTCTTCTAACCCTGAAAAAACCAACAATCAACATCTGGCAGGTCCGGTTAGCAATCTCAAACCCTGATATTGATATGTGCAATCATACTAACAATCAACATCTCTCTGTCTCTCTCAAAATAAAAACCAACAATCAAAAAAATAAATCTGCATTTCCCCTACAAAAATAGCCATTCCCGATCTATCGATGCAACACCAAGATAGTTTGATTTGGTTCTCAGTCTGGGTACATCCATCGTTTGCAGTGGTTGTAGATTCACATATCAAAGTCTTCCTGGGTATCATTGTGATCATCGTCTGTAATATTGGTTTGTTGTCACTGCTTGTTTCTCAGGTTGCTACCACTCTGCAATACAAATTAAAAAGCATGGTCATAGGGGTAGTTAATGTACCCAAAACACCAACTTACACTGAATTTTCTGTTTGACAATAATGTGTACATGAAGTTAGACCTGTTGCTGACACAATGAAAGAAGGTGTACTCTCCATTGTTAATATGCATGATTCCAAATATGTAATACTGTATGGTCTGCGGAATTGTTCCTTACGCTGCATTATTCTCAGGAGATTATTAGTCAATCAGTATGCATGAAAGTATCTGAAGTATTGGGCGTGATTCCAATCATCTAATATCTATGCTGGCACTATACTGAACTGTCGTGTTTGTGGAACTGAATTATGAAGTTTAGTTGGCTGTCTGCAGCGTAGGACTGCAGCCTCTTCTTTAAGGAAAACGATTTTCATCGACTAAGATGGGCTAATCAGAATTTACTTCGTAAGATGCAAGGCCTTCCTAGATAATGGTGTTGAAAATCTTCGTACATATCCGCAAGGTGTGACTTTATTTGTCCACGGAGAAGGTTTCATTGGCCTTCCTAAATAATGGTGTCGAACATCTTCATACATATCATCAAGGTGTAACTTCAGAATCATTGCTCCGATCTTCTACAACCATTCTCTACTGCACAAAGTCAAGAAATGCAGGGCCAAAACCCATGCGTTTTCATTGGCATCTGAGTCTAACTACCTACAGTTATACAAAGAATGAGAAACTATAATTCTGATCTAAAGTTATGTACACATGTGTGGGTTTATGCTTTCTTTCGGTAATCGCGCGAATCTATCTTGCAAGCTCAACTTACCGAAGAAGGCTTTCGCCCCGCTTTATATATAAAGCAACGATCCAGTTACAACCAACCTCATATAACTCCACACCAAACACACACATGGCAAGATACAAGAATGTTGAGAACAACTACACCGCCCCACACAACTCCAAGCCATCTACAAGAAGGAAGAGAGAGCCCCGCTTGAAGTCGCCGGAGGCCTCAACCGTGAACGAATCACAGCGAAGAGCCGAAGCTGTGCACGACGAACCGATTACTCCAAAGGCGGAGCCTTCAACAAGATCATGGCACCTAAGTACCACCGCCGCCCGATCAAGGGATCGAGGTTTCCCCCGGAGCAACAGGGAGGAAGAAGAGGAACCACGGCGACGCCTTCAAGAAGGAGACGACGCCCGTAGGCGCCGCCGCCGTCGACCTGGCAGAGCCATGGAGGGTTTTCAGCTGGTAAGCCCTCTTCGCCTCCGAGACGTAGTGCGCAAGCATGCTGCAGAACCACCGCCACCGACCGTCGTACCCAAGTTACCACGCCGCCCGCACGACCATGGTAACCAGCCAACATCCGAGCCGCGAGCTCCACCCACGAGCATCGTGTCTCCCACCATCGAGGCCGCCGCCCCGGCATCCGAGACCACCCCTCAACCGCCTCCGCCACACACTGACATCGTCAACCGGTGAAGGGGCAGCAAAGACCCCTCTTTCCACCCCAAACAAGCTCCTTTGGCAGGAGCGGCCGGCAGCCAGATCTGAGCAGGGGAAACGCCGGCGGCCAGCCATGCTGCAGCCACCCAAGACGCCCGATCTGGCACCTCCAAATCCCAGTGACGGCGAGTCCGGGAGGCACCCCTGCCTCCCCCTTCACGGCGCCCATGCCACCCACCGGCCAGCCGAGCCGAACCAGAGCACAAGAGGAGCCGCCACCAACAGCCGATTCATGCACCACCATGGCCATAGAGGAGGGGGTCGAACATACCGCTATCGTGCCGCCACCTCCGCCAGTCCAGTAGAGGCAGCCGCCCGCGACCTGTGCCGACCGCAGCCCTTGCCGCCGGAGGAGAAGGACGACCGACCGCCGCCGGCCCCCCAGGCACACACCGCCACCGCGCCGCCCGTCGTGCCGCCGCTACAGACGAACCGTCGTGGCGCCCGGCGTCAGCGTCACGCCCCGGCCCGGGGTGTTGACCCGCGCCAACCCCACCGCGCGGGAGGACGAGGATGCCCTGCCGGCGCCGGCGCCGACCGGCCTTTGCCCGGCCGGGCACCCTGGCGGCGGCGAGGGAGGAGGAGGGAGGAGGGGAGGGGAGCTGGCGGCGCGATCTAGGGATCCCTCCCCGTCGCCACGCCGGGGCGACTCGGGAGGGAGGAGCTGCGCTCGATCTCGCAAGCTCAACTTCACTTTGACATATCTGTGTAAGCTGTTGGCTTTGGAGCCTTGAAAAAAAATCAGATTAATATACACGGTATTTTTATCTCACAAAGAAAATTAATCCGCGCCATTTTTTTTTCAATTGCTTCATTGACGAGCTTTGTCTGCTCGAATTTACAGGGCTGCAGTTATGTAGGTATCACACTGGACAACATAACATGCGGAATTTAACATAATATGATAGATTTTTTTATTAAACTGGTTAGAAACTGAAAGATAAAATTTAAGCTTGTATCTGAATATCAGAGGAACCTACTTGGCCTTGTACATTACCAATCTCGGTGCATGCATGGTTTTCAAGCCCGCGTTTCATAAATAGATGGTACAAGTCTGGTTTATACATATCCCTCAGATCACCTGTGAAAATGTTCTGGGCAATATGGAATTCGAAGAAAATGGATGGTGCCAGGGGTACAAATCATGGTAATATTATGCCCCCGCAAAAAAAAAATGGTAATATTATGCCAGCTATTATTTTCCTTATTGTGTATATCAACAAAACTCCAACTAAATTCGCCAAGACCACATGTATATGCATATAGCCATTTGCTTTACACAAACTGATGCTAGATTTTGCTTCTTCTTTACATTTTGCCAATGTGCGATGCAATGTTTGAGAAGAATGAAAGCTTATATCCTCATGTTGGTGGCTTTGTCGGACCACAGAATGCCTGAATCTGTATATCGTACTCCTGCATACCAAGCTAATGTAGGCTAAGTTACATTGAAGTGTTTCAATTTAATGGTTGATGCAGACAAATATCACTATTTCATTTGAGTTGTGCTGAGATGTCACGTTAATTGATTGTAACAGAGTTATTCTACTTGAGATCAGTAGCTCAGCAGTGGAGTTTCTTGTGCTTTGACGCAGGAAAATATGCAGCAATGCTGTTGAAACTGCAGCCATCCACCCTAAGCAGTTGAATTCGTATACATGCTATTATTGTTACTATTAATTTTCATGACAAGTGGCATTAACGTACATAGAAACTGCAGCCGGCCGGATAGCCACCGCAGTTGAATTCGTATACATGCTATTATTGTTACAGGATATGACAGTATTGTTACTAGATCTTGATAGTAATATGTTCTGACCTTTAATAAGAAACCATTGTACTGACCTGTACGACCACTTGGCTCATATTAGATTAATTCATACTTGGCCTCTGACTCAAGACTTGGTCATAGTGGCTTGCCTTCAAAGTCCTCAGCATCATGATTAATAATTGTACAGTAGAAAGTTTCTTCCACCATGGCGCCACATCTGCCTCTCTGTAAAAAAAAAACAAATTAACACGTCTGTTTCAGAATAAGAAAACAGGCGCATCTCGCTTCTTGCTAGTGAAAGAACTAGTCGATGACATTTGTCGCAAAGAAGAGACGATGTGCGATGTTATATACACGGTTCCCACTTACAATTAGGACATCCAAACGAACCAATGGCTTGTGCTACTCACCTTCTTCCCATGTTCATACTGATACAACTTTGTTCTCTAGTTGTATCTACTTCCCATGCCCATGATCATGGTAACACTACAACTGCTTCTTACTGTCAGCCAGACCAGGCTGCCGCACTTCTCCAATTAAAGCAGTCATTCATCTTCGACTATTCCACCACCACACTGCCATCATGGCAACCAGGTACTGACTGCTGCCTTTGGGAGGGCGTCGGCTGTGGTGGTGGCGGCAGTGTCCGAGTTCTTGATCTCGGCGGCCGTGGCCTCTACAGCTATGGCTGCCATGCTGAGCTCTTCAACCTTACCTCCTTGCACTACCTCGATCTCAGCATGAATGATTTTGGCGGTTCTCGCATCCCAGCAGCAGGCTTTGAGAAGCTATCCAAGCTCACTCACCTCAACCTTTCTTATTCAGGCTTCTATGGTCAGATACCAATCGCCATCGGGAAGCTCACGAGCCTCTTATCATTGGATCTTTCTTCGCTGCAGAATATAATTTTCGGGACTCCATATGTTCGCTTGAGTGGCTATAACAATCTGCTGCTACAAGAGCCCAGCCTTGACACCTTATTGGAAAACCTCACCAATCTGAGGGAACTCTACCTTACCGGAGTGGACATGTCTGGTAGCGGAGAACACTGGTGCAGTGGTCTAGGTAAAGCTGTCCCCAGTCTTCAGGTTCTTAGCATGCCATACTGTAATCTCTATGGACCAATCCACTCATCCATGGCAAGTCTTCGGTCGCTTACGGTGATTAACCTCGAGCGTAACCATATTTCTGGTGTGGTTCCTGAATTCTTCTCACACTTTCTCAATTTAAGTGTTCTTCTACTCAGCGACAACAGTTTCAATGGCTTGTTTCCTCTGACAATCTTTCAACTTAGCAATATAAGGGAGCTTGATGTCTCCATCAACAGTGAACTCTCAGGTTTTTTACCAGAATTTCCAAATGGGACTTCGTTGGAGATTTTGAATCTACAGTTAACAAATTTCTCTAGTATCAAGCTGAGTTATTTTAGCAACCACCTGTATCTTAAAGAGCTAGGTCTTGATGCGAGGTCAATTTCTGTCGAGGCTAATGGTTTATTGTTCAGCAAGCTCAACTCTTTGCAAAATTTGCAGATCTCTTTTGCACAATTTTCTAGGGAGTTAGGGCCACTTTTCGCATGGATTGGTAACCTTAAGAAGTTGACAATCTTGCAACTCTCTTATTGCTATTCGTCCAAGATAATGCCCCCTTTGATTGGCAACCTCACCAACTTGACAAGTTTGGAAATTACTAAATGTGGATTTATTGGGAAAATACCACTATCAATTGGCAACCTCAACAAGTTGACTTCCTTGAAAATTTCTGATTGTGCCTTCTCTGGAACAATACCATCTTCAGTTGGCAATCTTAAGAAACTAAGAAGCTTGGTAATCACTGACACTGGCTTATCAGGTCGAATACCAGCAGATATTGGACATCTCAGCAGATTGAAGGTCTTAATATTAGCAGGCTGCAAGTTTTCTGGTAGAATACCAAGTACAATTGTTAACTTGACTCAACTCATTGTGGTGAATCTTTCACAGAATTTCCTCCGAGGTAAGATTCAGTTCATAGTCCATGTATTCACACATCTAATAGAACAAGAAATGAAAACGAAAAAAACCCATGCATCTCGGCCATGATTTTTTTTTAACATCAGCATGGATTTTATAACCTAGCCAATAAATTACATCATGCATCAAATTTTGTACAAGAAAATTGGCTTCATTGTCGAGCCAAGAACATTGGAGGTCGTTGTCTGACAAAGCTAGCTAGCACATGTGCCTCCACGTGTGTTTTGGGGGAAATGGTGAAAGATCGCCTTCACAAAGAACTATTGACATATGTTATATCTCCACCGCTGCTTTTCCTAGTAGTGATAGCAGTCCTCATATTGCCACCGCCGGTGTGCTTGAGTGTGCGCCATTTCAACATTGTTTGCACTGCTGCCATACAAAATTAGCAAAGAACCCACGATGGAATTACAACCAGTCAAGAGGGCAACTTGATTAACTGACAAAGAGCCAAGGCTTCTACTATTTCTGCATTTCTTACAAACATCAACTTGTTTGCAGCTGCCAAGAATCACCATTGTCATCTCTTAGGTTTGCACCTGTCGCTCCATCCAGTTGATGATTAGCAAAGTAAGAAGCATCAATGTTGTGTTTCACATGGCTCGCTAGTAGCTGCATCTAGCCGTTCCTCTTGATAGTTAAAACATTACAGACAATAGCATTGATATAGTAAAAGAAACACTATAGCATTGACTGCCATTGCCGAGCTATTAGGTGCTTGCACCATATGTAGTTATGTACGAACCTCCTATAGCCCCAGTTGGCCAATGAACGAAGACTGAATGGTCAAGAGACAATGCAGTCCCGCAGAATCAATCTTACATGATGATTCCTAAGAATGCCAACCCATCTTGCACATATGCACGGGAAAACATATGCATTATATCTTCACTTAGGCACACCACATGGGATATTGCCCGTAACATGTCGATTTGCCAAAGTTGCACAAGACGGGTCCCTCGTAATAGATACCAACATAAATGTTGGATATTCTTAATACTAGATTATAAGACGACATCTTGACATATTTACCAATTCTCTCTAAACATTCTCCGTTCTTGAGCATCTCAATCTCCATTTTGTTGTGTTAGGTATGATATTAATGGCATGTTAACTCTATTTGCAGGAGGGATTCCAACATCTCTATTCACTTCTCCAACAATGTTAATGTTGGATTTATCATCAAACCAACTTTCTGGACAAATACAAGAGATTGATACACTAGATTCACAGTTAACATTGGTTTTTTTGAGTCAAAATAAATTTAGTGGAAAGATTCCTGCATCATTCTTTATACTCACAAATTTGGTGGGCCTTGATCTTAGCTCAAACAACATAACAGGTTTGGTACAATTCAGTTCACTCTGGAGGTTACCAAAGCTTGCTTATTTGGGTCTCTCAAACAATAGGTTGTCTGTCTTGGATGGAGAAGACAACAAATCAGCAGTGCCCTTACTACCTAAACTCTCAATTTTAGTACTTGCGTCTTGCAACATGACAAAAATTCCTTATTTATTGCGGCATATTAATCATCTCCAAGTATTGGACCTTTCAAGCAACAAAATACAAGGGACAGTACCCCACTGGATATGGGAGAAATGGGATGATAGCCTTACACAATTGAATCTTTCAAACAACATATTCACACATATGCAACTCGCTTCATATGTTCTCCCATACAACCATTTGAGATCTCTAGATTTAAGTTCCAATAGACTTCAAGGCCAGATTCCGATGCCAAACTTGTTGACAGCGGTTTACACCAACACACAATTCCTGGATTACTCGAACAATAGATTCTCTTCTATTATGTCAAACTTCACTGCTTATCTTCGCCAAACAGCTTATCTCAAGTTGTCAAAAAATAACATTAGTGGCCAGATACTGCATTCAATTTGCGATGTAAGCAACCTCGAAGTCCTTGACCTGTCATATAACAACTTCAGTGGGTTCATGCCATCCTGCATGATAGAAGGCACCAGCTTGGTCGTATTAAATATAAGGGAGAATTACTTCGAAGGAAATTTGCCGGATAATTTTAGTGACCACTGCAATCTTCAAACAATAGATTTACATGGCAACAAGTTTGAAGGTACGCTGCCTAGGTCTCTTTCAAACTGCTCTGACTTGGAGGTTCTTGACATTGGAAACAATCAAATTGTTGATACTTTCCCATCCTGGGTGAGTAGGCTTTCCAATCTGCGTGTCCTTGTTTTTAGATCCAACCACTTCTATGGCTCACTTGCTTATCCTCCCAGCAATAACAAATTTGGGGAATGCTTCTCAAAGTTACAAATAATTGATATTGCCTCAAATAACTTCTCTGGCAATTTGGATCCACGATGGTTTGAGAATTTGCCATCTATGATGGATAAGTCAAATGATAAAGGACAACTCTTAGGCCATCTGATGACGCACAATAATGTATACTACCATGATACTGTTGCAATCACATACAAAGGTCAATATGTGACATTTGGAAAAATATTGACTGCGTTAACAGCAATTGACTTCTCAAATAATGCATTGGATGGTGACATTCCTGAATCAACTGGAAGGCTATTTTCTCTACATATACTGAGCATGTCACATAATGCATTTACAGGGAGGATTCCACCACTAATTGGTGGTATGAGCCAGTTGGAATCACTAGACCTGTCCTGGAACGAGCTTTCTGGGGAGATTCCACAAGAGCTAACAAATTTAACATTTCTTGGTACCCTAAACTTGTGCGGAAACAAGCTGGATGGAAGGATACCACAGTCACGTCAGTTTGCCACATTTGAGAACACTTCATATGAAGGGAATACAGGGCTCTGTGGGCCACCTTTGACCAAACCATGTGGCGATTCAAGTAACCCAAATGAGGTGCAAGTAAACACATCGGGAGATCATGTTGATATCATTTTGTTTCTCTTTGTTGGGGTGGGCTTTGGCGTTGGATTCACAGCAGGTATTCTGATGAAATGGGGGAAAATAGGCAAATGGTTGCAGATTGCGTGAATTGGTGTGAAGACACAAGACTCTTGTTATAGTTATTGCAATTACTGGAGGGAGCTATGTGTTGTAATATGCCACTCTATGTGTTCACATTTCTACCTTATCATCTACTATCATAATGTGTGTATTGTCATGTTTATGTAATGTATTGTGTGAACTGGTCTGAAGACGCAAGAACACTTCTTATCAAAAGTTGTATGACAATTGCTACACTTTTTTTTGAGACAGCTTACCATTCATGTCGAATGGTACAATTGCTACATTTCTATTGTTAATTTCTGTTGTAGCACAAAAACAGATGAGGTATTGTTCGTTTTCTATTTTCTAATCTGTTGGTGTTATTGGTTGTATCCGCTCTATGTACAATCCTTCTGGTAAAAAAGATCAGACACAGCGACCCGTGTACAATCCTGACTCGAAAATAACCACTGAATTATCCCCAGCAGTTAAACTAGGATTTGAGTTACACTGATGCTGGATAAAATGTAATCTGCACGGCAGATATCGCAGAGACGAGCTGCAATCTTCGCCGTTGTGAAAGAACAATCATCATGTCATGTATGAGTTCGTTCCTCGTAGCACCGTCCCGACGAACAGCTGGAGCGCACGGCGCCCCTTTCAGCCCCTCGTCATCCACCTCCGAAACTCCCTACCCAGGAAACTAACCTAATCAGTTAAAAAATTCGTTGCAAACTAACCCAATCAGCTAGCGGCATCAATCAAACTGAAATTGATGGCGGGTCGATGAGAAGCGGCGAGATATATACTCTGGCCCCGGCTCCCATGCAGTTCAGATGCTGTGGCACCTCGGCGAGCTCTGGCGAGGGATTGCAGTATCTGGCACAGAGACAGAAGTCGTCGGCACCGCGAGGGTCGTCAACCTCGCATTCAAGCCGTCGCCGCGTCGTCGTCGACGGCGAGGAGGGGTGCGCCAACCTCTGTTTTTTTTTCTGCAGGGTCGCCAACCTCTGTTTTTTTTCACGGAGGGGTGAGACACCGTGATGGACCGATGGTGTGCGTATGGGCTAGATGGAAGTGAGGGGCCCAGTTATTATTTTGGCCCGTCAACGGTGGCCTGATCACCGAGTCGTGAGTTGGCTCCTAAAAAAAGATCACCATTTACCCTAAACAAATGCCCAATTCCCGATCTGTCGATGCAACACCATATTATGTTTGATTTGTTTTTTGGTGTGGGTGCCTTCATCGTGATTCAGGTATCAAAGTCTTTCTTGGTATCATTGTGATCATCATCGGTGATATAATTCGATTGTCATCGAAGGTTGTTTCCCAGGCTGCTACAATTCTCCCATAATAATTCAAAAGCATGGTCATAGGGGTAGTTAATGTACCCAGAACGCCAACTTACACTGAATGTTCAGTTTAACAATAATGTGTACTACACTGTACATGAAGTTGGACCTGTACGTAGCTGAGAAAATAAAAGAAGGCAGTATAGTCTCTCACGTTTATATGCAGGATTCCAAAGATGTACTCTCTCCATCTGGAAATACTCGTCGGAGAAATGAATGTATCTAGATGTATTTTAATTTTAGATACATCCATTTTTATCAATTTTTCCGACAAGTTTTTTCGGACGGAGGGAGTATATCTCTATGGTCTACATAAATGTTCCTTATACTGCATTATTCCTAGCAGATTAATCAGTCAGTATGCATGAAGTATATGAAGTGTTTGGCGCAATTTTTTTTCTCAAATACGCATAGCATGCGTATCTTTCATTAATGGGGAAGAAAGGGTACAAGGAGCCCTCCGCCAAGGGTGTTACACACCCAGTCCATCATTTACATATGTCTACGTTTCGCTAGACTCCCACCTATGTATCCGCCCAAAAAAGCGTCCCAAGTCCGACTTTAGGAGGCCTGCCGTCCTCCAAGCCTTGCCCTCATTTGAGACCCGTGCTAGTAATCTACCAAGGGATGGTGTTTCGCCATCAAACACGATCCCATTGCGGTGTTTCCACAATTCCCACAGGGCAAGTATGATGATGGCCCTCACATCCTTCTCGTTGGTGCCATGTACCCGCTTGTTGAGGATCCACTCCGGTAGGGTGTCATTTTTGGCCGGCGTCCATTGCGGCATCTCCAAGGCGTGGCAGATCTCCATCCAGAAAGTCCTTCCGAAAACACATTGTAATATGATATGGTTCATTGTCTCGTCGGCCTGGCTGCAAAGTGGGCATGATTGTTGGTGTGGGAGCCCTCTCCTCGCTAAGCGGTCCGAGGACCAACACCTGTTCCGTATCGCGAGCCATGTGAAGAAGCGGCATTGCAGGGGGGGCCGACACTTCCACGTTGCCTCCGCGGTTGGGGCTATCTCTCTTCCCATGAACTTGGCGGCGTACGCCGATCGAGCGGAGTAGTGGCGGTCATGCTCCCAAGCCCACCTGATGGTGTCCGGTATCCCTTCTTGAAGCTGCACGCCATGGACCCGAGTCCACAGGCTCATGAATTCCATGAGAGTTGGTGCATCGATGTCTGGGCCAATGGAAGCTGCCTACGCCCCGTCTTGTAGTGCGTCCTTGACCAGTAGCTGCTTACGAATTCGGCGCGGTATCCTTGCATGGATCGTGGGTGCGATCTCCTCCATCCGAAACCCCTCCATCCATCTATCCTCCCAAAAGAGAGCGTGTGCGCCATCTCCCAGCACCATCCGCGTCGCCGCGTTGCACAACTGGATGGATGCCTTCGGTTCTGCTATAGTGAACTCACTCCAGGGCCTCGTGTCGTCCACACGCGCCAACCATGGCCAGCGGGCCTGCATTGCTACATTCATCCTAGCGACGTCCGGGATCCCGAGGCCGCCAGCCCATTTGGGTGTGCAAACAGTGTTCCAGGCCAACGCGCAGTTGCCTCCGTTCGCCTCTGCCTTGCCACACCAGAGAAAGCCACGCAGGATCTTGTTAATCGCCGAGACTGTCTTCGCCGGTAGTTCCAGGGCCAACATTCCATGCACCGGCATCGCTGAGAGAACCGATTTGATGGGGATCAACCTGCTACTCTTCTGTAGGGTCGCTGCACGCCAAGTAGGTAGGCAAGCCGCGATGTGGTCCACCAGGCCTTGTAACTACGCGGCCGATTGCTTCCGGATGGTCAGCGGTAGCCCCAGATATCTCATCGGGAAGCCGCCCAATGAGCAGCCCAGTACACTTGTAACCTCAGCCATTTGCTCTTGTGTGCACCTGATCGGAAGGGCGACGCTCTTTGCAAGGTTTGCATGAAGTCCCGAGGCTGTGGCAAACATGCCGAGTATCGTCGTGCACGTGGTGAGGTCCGTCAGGTGCGGTTTCAAGAAGATGATCACGTCGTCCGCAAATATTGACAGGCGATTCTTGAGTCCATTCGCCGCCAAGGGTGCCAGGAGGATGGACACAGATGCTGTGTGGAATAGCCGCTATAGAGGCTCCATGATTAAGATGAACAACATCGGCGAGAGCGGGTTCCCTTGCCTTAGGCCACATTGGTTGTAGATTGGTTTGCCGGGCACCCCGTTGAGCATGATCCTTGTCGAAGACGTTGCAGGCAATCCACAAATCCATCCAATCCACCGTGTGCCGAACCCCATGGTGTGTAGCACCTCAATTAGGAATGTCCATTGGACGGAGTCGAATGCTTTGGATATGTCAAGTTTCAGGAGCACCGTGGGGTCTCTTAGGGCATGTAGGCGCCGTGCCGTGCCTTGCACAAGCATAAAGTTGTCATGCAGATATCTTCCTTTCACAAAAGCGCTTTGGTGTTTCCCCACAAGGTGTGGTAGGTCTCCGGCGAGTCTTGTGGCCAGCACCTTGTCGAATAGCTTGATCACGCCGTGCACTAGGCTTACTGGCCGATAGTATCGTAGTTCTTCCGTGCCATCCATCTTGGGCAGTAGGGAGACTAGTGCTTTGTTAACTGCGTGCATGCCTCGCATATCCCCATGATAGAACGCGTCCAGCGCCCGCATTATGTCCGCCTTGATGATGTGCTAGCAACATGCATTGAATCTGTTTGTGAACCCGGCCCGCCCCGGCGCATTGTCTGGTGGCAAGGCCTTGACCACCTTCTCCACTTCTTCCTTAGTGAATGGCAATTCTAGGTGCGACAGGTCACGCCTTGGCAATCCTAGTGCTTCCAAACGTAGTGATTCATCCCTAGCGGAGCCCGAGCCCAGCAGCCGGTCGTAGAGCCCATCCACTTCAGCAGCAATTTGATCATGCCCTGTTATCATCAGCCCGTCCTTCTTGATGGAGGTAATCATATTTCTGCGTTGCCGGTGTCTTGCGTGCCGGTGAAAGAACGGGGTGTTGGTGTCTCCCTCCTTTAGCTGTAACAACCGAGATCGTTGCCTTGCTATGGTCCTCTCCAAGGAGCATAACCCTAGAAGCTTTCGTTTGAGGGTTTTCCGGAGTTGGAGTTCCGCTGCTGTGAGTGCTCTGCTGTCCGATGCTTGGTCAAGTCGGTATATGAGCTCCATGGCCATGAGAGTCTGCATCTTTATGTTGCCTATCCACTTTGCGCTCCAGCTCTGGAGCCGTTTGACCGTGGCACGGAGCTTCTTTTCAAGGACGACGAAAGGATTCCTAGAAGATGGGATTGAGTGCCACGCCGTAAGAGCGGTGTCCATAAACCCCTCTGCGCGCGGCCAGAATGCCTCAAACCTAAAGCAGTGTCCCATTGGCATGTCCGCGTCGAGATCAAGGAGCATCGGGCAGTGATCCGAGATAGATGTGCCCATTTGTCGGTGGGAACGACACCTATGGGATCACAAGAATCCCTACTATGATCGTGGGGCGCGGGGTCGTGAGAAGAGCGGATCAAACAGATAGCACACGGTTTCCTTATCCAGGTTCGGGCCGCGAGGATGCGTAAAACCCTGCTCCTGCTTTGGTGGTTTGTTTATCTGTGTTCTTGAACTAGCCATGGGGCGTGAGGAGCTCCAAAAAGCCGAATCCTTTTGAGGGTCCGGAGTCCCATTCCCCCCTTTTCCACAATACGCCTCGGGCCTCC